TAATGCGCCCGCTATTACGGACGAATGGGGAGAGAAATCCGGACCCGAAACTGAGGATTCTGGGACCCGGTTTGCGGATTCGGATCCTCCGAGGAACGAGGACGAGTGGGAGGAAAGAAATGGCGGAGAAGCTGAAGTTGATGCCGGAAATGGAAGTGTGGTTGAAGATCGGACTTCGGAATTGAAAAGGTGTTTGGCGGATACGGTGTACGGAACTGAATTAGGGTTCCGAGCTGGATCAGAAGTTCGTGCGGAAGTGTTGGAGCTCGTGAATCAATTGGAAGCTCTGAATCCTACGCCGGCTCCGGTAGAGAATCCGGAGCTTCTCGACGGCAACTGGGTTTTATTGTAAGTCCCTTTACTCTTAAACTGGAGACAAATCTTTGATCATAGCTCTTAAGATTGTGGCTGAGAATTGCAACATTGAGTTAGTTTCTGAGATCCTCCTAATTGAGAATGAGAAATTGTCAATCTTTGATGAAGCTAAGTGATGATAATGATTCAGGACTTGTTACTATAATCGAGCATTACTGTTGTGATCTTGGTTTATGAAACAGGTACACTGCTTTCTCTGAGTTGCTTCCTCTTCTAGCTGCTGGTTCGACACCTTTGTTGAAAGTGAAAAGTATAAGTCAGTCTATAGACACAAAGAATCTCTCTATAGACAACTCCACTACACTCTCCAGCCCATTTGCAGATTTCTCATTCAGTGCTACTGCTTCATTTGAAGTTCGAAGCCCTTCAAGAATCGAGGTAACTAAACTTACAAACACCGATTCCGTATTCTTAACCTTGGTTATGAGATCAATCAAAACTTACCCACAAAACAAAATATGTCGAAAAGGAGTTTCTTTGTAGAATAGTCGTAGTCAGATTTGAGTTTTGTTGGAGATCATCATTCATATGGTTTCTCACAATGTTTGGTAAATGTCAGGTTTCATTCAAAGAAGGTACGCTAAGACCTCCGGAGATCAAATCAAGTGTGGATCTCCCAGAGAGTGTGGGTGTCTTTGGTCAGCAGATTAGCCTTTCGTTGTTGAAGCAATCTTTGAACCCTTTACAAGATGTGGCAGCAAACATTTCACGAGCAATCACGGGTCAGCCACCTCTCAAGCTTCCGTTTCCAGGAAACCGAGGCAGCTCTTGGCTCTTGACCACTTATCTTGACAAGGATCTCAGGATTTCAAGAGGAGACGGTGGGCTTTTCGTGCTTGCTAGAGAAGGAAGCTCTCTGCTCGAGCTCTGAAACATTTGAGAAGGTATATATATATAGCAAGGCTTCGTGTAAAAACCATAATAATGCTGAATGCAGATCGACCATATTGTTTTCCTCAAATTCTCTTAAATTTCAATATGTTCCGACTTATGTATCACAAAATTAGATAACTTCAGTTTCTGTCTCTAGTAAAATGGAAGATCCATCAAAATTGGAGGAATGATATGAGAACAATGAAAACCCAGAAACTAAATCTGAATTTATTTTTGCTTGATCACTTGAATCGAGAATCTCTCGCAGGACATTTCTGGTTGTGATTTTGAAGAACATATAAAACTTATTGGTCAAGTACATAATATTAGTCACAAGTGTTAGTTCTCCGGGAGATATTCCGATTCATTCGACCATTATTGAAAGAAAAAAAACTCGTACAAACTGATAAACAGTGAAAGAAGTTTCCTTTAGTATTCGTCAGTTGCTGTAAGTCTGTAATATAAGAAACAGATGGAATGTTGAAAAAGCACCGGACCTTTGATGAATTTTGGCAGCTTCATCTCTGCAGCATCCACTGCAAAATGTCCTTCCTGATGACACCATCAAACCCGCTTCTAGCGTAAATCGGTTTAATTAGACTGAATTCACCTGCTGCACTGTAATTCCTGTACTGAGTGGTACTTCCAGTGGATCTTGGTGGCTTGATCATCATCAACGGAATCTTGGGCCGGAGGTTCTTCAAGGACGAGAACAAGTGCCTATCGACTTCACTGTTCTGAGGAGTCTGGATAGTATTAGCATGTGGTTTGAGACAGGTTGATTCAAATAGTCTCTTCGCCTTGTCCACGGTTGCCTCTGTATGTATTGTTGTCTGTTTTGGTAGAATAACCTGAGCTGATGGCTTCATCCGATCGAGCCACCGGAGAATCCAGTTTCCAAGGCTCCGGCCAATTTCCATGTCTCTCTGTTGTATGTTCTTGTGGACCCTAAGTGCCATGTCAAAGATTTGATGAGTCCTCCTGCATAAAAAGAAGGCAAAAGAGAACAAGTTAAGTCACCAATCCTATCAGTCGAGAATGGAGATCTCGTATACACAACTCCTTACTGGTTTAACAAGAACATTATCTATTGATGGTATTGTATGACCTTAGACATAAAAAAAAATCCTTTCCTAGCAACAAAAACACTTCACATCCTATACCAACACAATATAGAACTTCAATCCAGCAGAAACTAGACGTTCTATCTACTTATTTCTATGAATAAATTGCATAAATTTTATGTCTCACTATTCATGAATCTCACATCAGATGGTTGAAGCAGTGTGTATCAAATTACAAGAACTAGTAAACATAAGCCAGTTCATCTAAAAAAACAAAGCACCCTCTTGATTCTACTTTGTAAATCCCACCTCTCGCATTGCAATGCTGAAACCACATTATAGTGATACTAGCATCGGAACATTAACGGGACTAGAACAAATCAAAAATCAAACTCGGATCAAAAGGACGCGAGATTTAAGCGATCAAAAACACAGGAAATATCCAAATTCAGAGAAAGAAACATCACCAAATCAGCAATTTCATCTACTAAAGAAGCCAATTCTCATCTAAATAAACGTAATTCCACACCGTTTGACTCCAAAGGGATTGTATTTGTAGCTCAAACACACTATCAAACCTAATTCAGAAGCAACCAAATCGCGAAATCCCCAAAATAAAACGAGAAGACGAATCAAAGACACGGAAACAATTCGAAAGAAACTTCACCGATGCATGAATTGCCGGATCCTTGGATGCTTAGGGCTAATAATCCGACGCTGGGTCTTCAATGCGAGCCGATAACTCCGCCTCAAGCCCAAGAAGTAGGCTGTTCCCAGTGCTATCTCCCACAACACCATTTCTTACTAAAACAAAC